TTCAATTACAAGGTAGCTATTCCAGGGAAAAAGCTGAGAGAAGTGAGGTTGTGCAGGAAATATGCCCCAGTAAAATTCATTGTGATGCTTAATTCTCATTGGCTTCACACCACATGTTGGCAGAAGTTGAAGAGTAGGGAGATAAAGCAGTTGCTGCTTTCTGGGAATGGTCACAATCGAAACACATTTTTTCTTGGGAGCCTTCATTCATTTTTCCCCATCCCATCCTACCTGGCTCTCTGGATTTGTTTCATTTGTATCACAAGAGGGCACCCTGCATCAGCCTACATTCCCATCCACATCTTGAAAGGCAGAAACTGAAACCAGGAAACTTCACGGCCTGAATTGGGCTTGTGGAGAGAGGGGCACTGTAGGAACAGCCACAGGGAACAGCTGGCTGCACCTGGAATGTCAGCGTCCTCTCCTTGCATGGGGGGACAAACACACACCCTCCTCTCCTCCCACTAGGAAGAGGACCTCTGCAAGTTTTAAAACTCAATTCAAAAGTAGCAGACTACAGATAAGGGATTTAAACAGGACAATCATTTAACACTTAATTGTAAAGGCTCTCTCAGTCATGCTGGATAAAGGAAGTGCCTCCTTCACTTCTTTTTACTGAAAACCAGCTGATATACCTGACTACTGATACACCAACTGGCACTCTTCACAGGATATTGTGTAAGTATGGCTTCCCATGGCAGCTAACAAAAAGGAAGGAATCATCTTCTTTGAGAAGAAAAGCAGCATTTAAATAATCCAATCAAGTATGCTACTATATGAAATGAAATTTGTATAGACAAATATATTGACTTAAATAAATTCCCACTTCAATTCTAAAGGTGGTGAATGACTGTTTCTTAAGTATAACAAGCACCTGATAGCACATCAAAAATACTTGTACTGTGTCCTGAAAATCTGTATTATGAAAGCAACCACCTGAGATGAATTTGATTTTGTAAGAGGAAAGAAAAATTCTATCTGTTAAAAAGCTAACAATGTGATGTACAGTTCTCATACACTTACCTTTTTCTTGAAACTTAATCTACTAATGACATACTCTGTGAATATTGCTCCAGAATATATTTTCATTAATCTTTTGTGAAAAACAGCTCAACATGTATTGCAATTTTAAGTTGCCACTAAGCCTGTTGAAACAGAAATTCACAGATCAGGTCTCCTTAATGCTCAACCCTCCAAATTCAGCTTGGATCTTCACATGAGACCAGTTCTCTGTGAGGTTGCTTGAGAGTATGTAATGCTGTAAGCACTTTTTCATGGGGGGCAAACACCCTCTGAATACCAATTCTTCTGGTTATCAAATTGATTCATGCAGGGATCAAGGAGCATCCTCTGCTGCTTCCTCTAGGCCTGATCCTGAATTGCCAAACAGAAAGAAGTACCAAAGGGGTTGTATGTTTGCTGAAACAGAAATTAAGGAGAAACAGTAATGTTCTTCATTGTTAGCATCAGAATAGATTGTTATCGTAGCAACAGCAGTGGGAAGAAACAAATTGTATGTAGCCAATACTTGTTTTACCTCATGTTTCACGTGCTATTTTTCTAAATTTTTCTTACTAATTGCTTGATTTTTTGGTAAACTTCTGCTGTCATCCTACAAGGTTACTCTTGCTGGCACTGGAGGCTATGTTCTCGAAAGCCTGGTAGCAGATACAGCACACCTCTGACTCCCTTTACAAGATAATCACTATGGTATTTCTGAGTGGAGCTTCTTAGGCAGCAAACCTGAAATTCAACATATAGAAGTCAAACAAACTACTGTAACTTAAACTTTTATTGCTTGCACTTCATTCTATCCAATACTGCTGGCTACAATTTTGTGATATGCCTCAGGAAAGGGGTGCCAATTACTAGATTCTCTTTTTCCTATTACTCCATAGATCCTTTTCTAACTTTCTAAATGGAAAAACAGAATTCAACTCCTCTAAAGCGTCTGGAGGAGAAAGGCCAAAGGAAAGTCTAACTCCTTCTGAAATAATTTTCTCCCAGCTCTAATAATTTCTGACTTCCTATATATACCTTTCTTCCAAAAAAACCCCTCATTTAAAAAGCAGTGAGGCATTTCATATGTAAATTGCTAGTGAGTTGTCAGACAATAAGGACTTGTTAACACAAGGAAAGTTATTTAATCTTTTGACCACTAGGCCAGACCTGGGGGCCTGCAGAAGATCCTGGGCTAATACCAACAGATACTGTGCTTGGTTTATTGTTTCCTGGAATACACTGGGTCCAGATGCTGCTTTCCCCTGCAGCTGGAAGTCCACCTAAGAACCATTTCCCCTTCCAGCCTCTGGACTTCACAAGACAGGGGAGAAAAGCACCACAAGAAAGCAGGTAATCTGGCCCCACAGAATCAATGGCACTCAGACTTCTTTGGCTACATAAATAGCTGATGAAAAAATAGCTGCTTTATTCACATTATCTTCTACATTTTTCTTCCTGAAAAGTAATCTCCATGAAAGGAGGACACTGTGTTTACTTGGCTTACAGTGAGATGTTATTTTGGGTCACACTGTAGCTAAAACTTTTTAATGAAGGTGAAAGAAAAAAATCATATTCCACAAGAACTTTATGCAGCACAGTGTAATGGTGATGAAGTGTCAGTGGGTATCAAATCATGCCCTTGCTGGCACCAAACCCTCACTGAACTTTATCAGTTCTTGCAGTATTTAGTGTCAGCTTAGCACATGCCTTCCCTTTAAGCAGGAAAAATCTGCTACCAAGATTAGACAGAGGAGCTGAGAGAAAAAGCATACATTGGTGCACTACAAAAGGATTATTCTTTTCCAGCAAAAATACTGCAGGAAGCCCACAAATGAGCATACAACACACATGTTAAGTGTAAATGTAGTGGTTTTGGTTTGCTAATTTGAATTTTTTGGCTAACACACTAATTAACGTAGAGGGTTTAATGCTGGCTAAATGTCAGTGCATTTAATAGATTTTTTTTTTTTTTTTGCTGTGAGTAAGAATTAGGAGGAGAGCAAAGCAGGCTTAAAACTTAAAAGGGTATAAAGAAAACTTTTAAAATAGAATTAAAAGACAGAGTAATAAGAATTAAACGTTTAGAACACTTTTT